CTTGTAAAAAATATTTTTCTCCAAATAATTCAAATGATAGATTGGGTGCATTGAAATTTGTTTTTCCGTCTCTTCTAGAAACATTACCCCATAACAAATGACAATTTTAAAAAAATCTGCTGTAAATCTATTAAAAATTGTTATCAATAATAATTTCTTTTTTTGAATGTAAAGCCACATTTTCTGCAAAAATATAAGATGTATTTTTAAAAGAGAAAAAGAATAGGACAAACGTTTATCCAATATTTCAGGAAAAGATAGCCAGTATTTTTGAAAAAGATGCCTGGTAACATTAAGTATCTAAATCCCTAACATCTATTTCAAATTCATTCCATTTAATAAATTGAAATGGAAATGGAATTTTCAAATCCATTTTATGAATTTGTAGATTGTTGAATTTGAGTTGGATAAGTGGTATTCGTTTTAAGCGTTTAAGTAGAGTAAACAATTTCCTAATCAAAATTCAATGTTTAATAAAATATATCGGAAACACAGATTGTGAATTTGTTATTTAATATTGAAAGCGAAAGTGTAAGAAATAAATTTCTTAAACATTCGCGTTAATTTTTTTAAATTTACCAAGAAATTTCAAGTTTTTTAAACTTATTTTAAATTTATAAAACTATTAAACTTACAAAATTTATAAAAATTATTTAATAACTTGTTAAGAATTATACAAATTATTTAATAATCTTAAAAAAAATTTAAAGGAATCGAAAATTTGTAGATATTATGATGTATGAAACCATATAATCAGGGGCGGACTGGCCAAATTATTATGATGTGGAAAAATATTTTTAACGGCCCTGTAGGCCAACGAAAAATGAGGAAAAGCAGCAAAGATAACAGACGTAAATTACAAAGTTATGCTTAATTTATAAATATATACATTAATGAATAAATATCGAACAGAAAAAATTTATTAGAATACATATACGTAAAAACAAAGTACTTAACAATAAAAAAATATATAATACTGTAAAGCAAGGATAATTAACAATTATAAAATACAAACACAAATTACAACATTAATTTCTCAAACAATAAATTGCTTTTTTTTGCAACAAGATTAATAACGTCGTCAGAATCAATACTGTTTAATAAGTCTTTTTCCACTGCCATCAGCATAAATGCATCTAAATTTTCTTGAGACATGGTTGATCTAAGTCTATTTTTTATATATTTTAAAATAGAAAAGCTTCGTTCACAGGACACTTGAGTCACAGACAAAGTTAATAAATACTTATAAGCTTGTCCAAGTGTAGCGTATGTTCCGCTTAACATATTGTAGCGTTGTAAAATATTATAACAACAAATTGGACAATTTTTACAAGCTCCGCAATGAGAGGGCGAAATAGTTTTGTCATTATCATCGTCGTTGTCATCATCATCACTATCATTAATTACATTATCTTCTGAGACTTTTCTAAATGAGTCGTTTACATTTTCTTTCAAAAGATTCCAATTTTTTTTAAAATTATTTAATTCTTCAATAAGATTTTGTTTTGTTGCAATTGGGTTAAACTTTATTAAAACACTGCTTAATTTTTCGAAAGCGTTACTGGGAGTAGGTTCCGTAAAATTTTTTGGATCCAGACATCCTATGTCATAATAAAATGACTGATTTTTTGAAAAACGATTTTCCATGCTTTGAACAGCCATGTCAATAGCAAAATTATACACATTCACTTCAAATTCTTCAACGCATTCGAAGTAGTTTCATCCAAAGCTTTTTCTCCGGGCATTATTTTTTTCTGACGTCGCCTAATTTCTGGTAATTTAGATTCCAGCATAACATCGCATTCCATTTCATCTAAATTATTATTGGCATAATTTACAAATTCATCCGAAACTTCATTAATTACACAGAAATTTCTTGATATTTCTTTTAGAGATTGAATTGCACAGGAAATCATATTGTAAGCTTTAATAAAATCTAAACCTTTCTCTTGTAAATAGTTGGAAATTGGCGTTGTAATTTCGAAAATTTTTAAAAATAATTTAGCAGTTAATATAGTTTCATATTTTGTTAGAGAATCTATAAAATATTTAGCCTTTTGGCGAATTTCTGCTTTAAAATTAGGTTTTAAAGAAATTTCATTTAACGTCAGTATTAATTCCACAAATAATCCATCTTTGGGGTTGTTATAGTTACCAAATATTTTTTTAAGGATAGCATCTTTGGCCCACCATCGTGTTTCTCCAATTATATTCAATTTCTTTCTTTTATTATCTTTATTAAAATAATTCCACATATTCATTCGGATGTATGATTCTCTAATAAAAACAGCAATTAAATTTAACAAATTAAATAATGTAGCAACCGTTATGGAAGATTGAGTAATGTCAGATATAACTAAATTTAAAATATGTGCATAACACCATACGTGCACATTTTCAGCATTTGACTTTAACATGTGAGCAGAAAAACCCTGATATTTGCCTTGCATATTACTTGCACCGTCCGTAGAATTACCTATACATTTTGTTATATCGATATTGTTAATTTCTAAAAGTTCTTTTACAACGTTGTAAAATGATTCACCAGTCGATGAATCCATATTAATGGTGGATAAAAGTCTTTCATTAATATTATTATTATTAATATACCTCACAACAACCACACACTGGTCTTGCACACTTACGTCTTGTGTAGTGTCTATTTGGATACTGTACATTCCAGAGTCATTAATTTGTTGTGAAATTTTATTTTTTATTAATTGAGAAATTGCTTCAATTACGTAATTTACAGTAGTTTTGGATAAAAAACTAATTAAGTTACCCCTTCCTTGTCTTTTTCCACATTCATGAATTTTTTTACTTTTTTCTATACAGTTTCGTAAATGATTTTTCAGTGTATCGTCATATTTGCTTAATAAAATAATGATTTCTATAAACGTGCCATGATCTACGTTATCGTCATCAAATGTATAGAGGCTCTCGTTTCTCTTTCCTCTATAGCTTAAACCTCTTTTGCCTATTAATTTTATTACATTTATTACTCTGGTTAGCACATTTCTATTGAACATGATATTTTCTTTTCGTAATGATCGAAATTGTGTTGTTATGTTTAAAGTATTTTTTGAGCGCATAAAATGATTCATAACATTTTCATCGTGAAATTTACTTGTTTCATGTCTTTCAATGTACTGATGAACATAGTCCCAATTGGAAAAACCTTTAGTAAAAATATTTTCGTTTGACCCACCGTACGCAAGACAAATTGAACAATATAATTTGTTATTATCTTCGCAAAAGGATAGCCATTGGCGATTTTGCTGATCGTGTTTACGAAAATATATTTTATTGTTAAATGGAACGTTTTGAACCGGTTGTTTCGGATGATAATTAAAAAATTCTTCAATATTATTGTTGTAAGGTTTTCTAAAAAAAGCATTATTTGTATTTTCTTTCTCTTCATTTGTTTTTTCCTTTTCTTTATTTTGTTGTACATGATCAATTTCTATTTTTTCCAGTTCAGGATGAATTAAAGAACTGGTAGAGGCGGTTGAAGAAGGCATGTCTTCATGTATTTTAAACATTTTATCAATCGTGTGACATGTTCGCGCCACGGACTCTAATTCGCGTTTTCGTCGTAAACGAAGTTTTTCCGTCCCTCCCAAAACTTTCTTTTTTTCATTTTTATCTATTATATGTAATACTGTTATTAATAATAAAAAATAAGGAAATTAAAATAGTTCTAGTAATAATAATTATATAAATTTAATTTAACTTACTATTTTTAAAAAACAGAAAGCAGAATAAAAAATGAAGAATACGAAGTAATTCAACACATACAAACTATAATATCATACACCAATTCAAATAACGTTAAAATGCAACTGAACTAAAATATGTAATATTTGCGTTTGCATTTTCAAAGGCACAAGGATAGACGGCTAGAAACGGAGCTCTGTGGAGACAGATAACCCGGGTTTATTATTAAAGAATATAAACATTAATGAATATAAAAAATAATTTATTGCGTCTGGCTACACTTTTATCGTAACATTAACAAATTGAATAATGTTAAATAGGCAAAATTAATGTAGTATATAACCGTTAGTAATAAGTGAAAAAAAAATTATTTTTTTATATATTTTATTGAATTTTACATTTTTATGAGATTATGAAAACGGCCCATGTGGAATAGTCCACATCTTCCACATGGCCAGTCCGCCCCTGCATATAATTATTCTAAAACTTCAAGATATCATTTACTACTCAGACCCGTAGCAAGTTTTTGTTGTTGTTTAAGATTGTTGTAGTACATTTTAAACTTTTGTAAATTTATGTTTATATCAAATAAGAAAGTTGTCATTGCTTATTAGCATTTACCTCAAGTAGCAGGGTTCAAAAACGATACAATACGATAGCCTGCGATACGATATACGATACGATAGCTTGCGCTTTAACCTAACATCGCATTCAAAAAAAGTTTAAAATTCCTTTTTGCACCACTAATAAAGTGTGAAAAACTTGTAGTAATACTTCTTCCCATTCAAAAGCAGACTGCTTAAGATTATGGTAAGGGTTACCGCAGTATATTGTTGAATGGAAAATCCCCCGTTGATGCTCGGTTTGTTGTAAATGAAATACGCAATCACTATATGAAATTCTTGACACTATATTTTACTTCCCAATACTAAAAAAAACCTTGACAATTTATAAAAGAATAATATAAATGTATTAAACTTGATTTATTCAAAACATTTCTAGCCTTACCCATTACTCCAATAGTTTTAACAATTAGTGTGATAATTCTAGCTAAGGTTTTCATCAAACATATAAAACTAAAAAGTTAGTATTTGTTTCTTTTTTTGCTTACATTTTGTCTATAAAAAGTAAAGTCAAGACGGTAGGCTGTAGTTTTTTATTAAATATTCCTTGAAAAAGTGACCTTTTTTTTTCGGCACTTAGTGTCAATTTAAATCATTAAATTTGACACTTCAGGGAGATAATTGATGTACATTAAAAATAGAAGTGGTCTAAGTAAAGACCCTTGGGGAACTCCACAGGTTATATTTAATAGATTAGTTGTATCCAGTTTCATAAACTATAAACAAACTGTTTACAGTTGCTAAAATAACTTTTAAGTAATATTAAAACATTACCTTTAATTCTATAATATTCTATTTTTTAAGGAGAGTTTCATGATCAGCAGTGTCATATGCTTTTGATGAATCTTTGAAAATTACCAACGTATATTGAGACTTCTCAAAAGATCTAGCTATGCTATTTTATTTGGAGTATGACGTGTTCTTCTTGTTAATTTTTTTTAACCAGTATTGATTGATATATTGTATATTATTTAATGAAAGGTGATGATAAATAACGTTATATAAAATTATTTCTAAAAGTAATGCTATGTAAAAATTTCGAAAAACAGAAAGAAAAGAAATTTGGCGATAATTTGTAACATTCGTTGGATCGCCAACCTTAAAAGTTGAAGTAAATGAAGCTTATTTTAAATGATCTGGATATATTTCCGGTTTTATTGAACAATGAAAAACTTTAAATAGTACATTTTTAAAGACTTCGTACGAGTCTATGACAACATTACTATTTGTTCCATTGTGACCAACGGATATATATAGGTTTTAAGAATTTCAAAAATTTGCAAATGATATTTAGATTAGAGGAGAAATCATTGTTACTTCTTAAAGTTTTGGTTAGAGCGCACTCGTGCCAGTTTTCTATCTGGAGGCAGATAAAAAGCTTTTTTCCAAAACTTATTTATTTTATTTTATTTATCGGAAAACTCGTTCAAAAAAAACTCGTTTTATTGTAACTATTTTAAGAATGACGTGGGTAAAAACAGTTCAAAAATTAATTTGAAGTCACAGGTATACGGCGTTTGGTAACTATTATCAACATTTTTGACAATAAATTTTATTTTTATATTTTCATTACTGAGAAATGAACTAAAACTAATGAACTTTTTGAACTAAACTCTTAATTAAACTAATTTTAAAAAATCATAATAATTAAATCTCATTTAATTATTATGATTTTTTAAAATTAGTTTAATTAAGAGTTTAGTTCAAAAACTGAAAGATTCCACTAGCTTCCATGATAGTTTTAACATTTTTCCATTGATAGGTATGAATAATAGCAAATAAAATAAAAATCATTTGCCCCTAATTGCCCAAATAAAAATAAGACCTTTTATATATTTTATTGTTTTTTTTTAATCGTATTTTTTTGAGTTTTGTAGACTGAAGGGTCTATACTATGAAAGTATTGACAAACCTGAAATAATAAATTTAAAGAATATTTAAATGTGAATTCCAACCAAAGTTGCGGAAACATTCATAAAATTTTGCAAATTTTTTAGAACACAAGCAAACTTGGTTAAAGAAAGTTGTAACAGTTGACTAAAAAACGCTGCAGCAGGTGTAGGTAGAAAGTGAAAGGACTGTAAAGATTTTGGTGATAGAAGCAAAAGATCTATAGTAATAATAAATCAATTAAATTCAACTCAAATTAAAAAATAGTTTACACGCTTAAATATTTAATATCATTTTGTTTAAGGTTGCCAAACTGGCTGAACATTCTGCTAAAGGATTGGCATTAGATTCAATAAAAAAGGCATTTAGAGATCCTAACGTAAAGACTTTGTTGTTCTCATGAAAAGTGTTACAAATTCTAAAAAGTTAAAACCATGGAGTGAAGTTTACAGATAAAAAAAAGTATTAAATTACTAGAAGTTCATCAATAAAATATAATCCAAGTATTTATTTTTCACTTCATGAAATTAAGATTGAGAGACACAAATGTTATCTAAGAGTTTATTTGTGACAGAAACATCTGCTTCAACTCCCCTACTTGGTATGTTTAATCATACTCTGACAAGGATATTAACTTTTTCCGAATGCAAAGACTCTATGAGAATATTTGCTGAAAGTGAGGGAAGGTTTAAAGATTTACTTAACTGTATAGATGATTTTGATGGTGACTCCAGGTTATTATACTGATAAATTATATTGATACAAAAATTGTCGCGGTCAAAGTTAAAAAGTAAAATTTTTTCGAGACAACTATTGTTCCACTTAAATAAACCACCATGAATAAAAATGTATGGTTGAATAAAAACCCCTCTACTACACTTTACTGTAGACCCCTACATCTCAAACATCAAAAAATAATGGAAGAGTTGATAAAAAGTAAATAAAAACTTTTTAAAGCAGAAATGAAAATGACTGTAGTCAAGTTTGAAGTAAATTTTGCAGTAGAGAAAAATAAATGGGGATACGACTGTCACATTTAATTTTAAACTAATATGCCATTTTTGATGGTAAAGTGGTTAATGCCCTCATTAACACTCTGCCCTCTCAATCATGAATGTTTGTGAAACTAAGCATATTGAACTTAACAACCCAGCATTGATCAGATCTAAACCATCAATGAAAAAGTTTATCTCTGAACTTTTCTACTTAATTTCTGGAAAAAAATAATATTCAACTGAGGTTTAAAGATTATCTAAGTTTTTTTTATATGCCCAAAATTGGTTTTTGCAACACTAGCGATGGGAACACTGCAGAAGGGTATTTGAAAATGCTGAAACTTTTGCTCTATAAAACGGGAGTGCTATTAAATGTAATTATTAAATTAAAGACAACTCTGATATCATTACGCTTCTGTTATGAGTTAAACTCTGATTAAACTCTGTTATGAGTGAAACTGCTGCTCTTATACTTTAAAAATATTGCTGGTATGTGAGTCTCCTAACAGTTCATAAATCTTTTTACATTGTGTGCATATATCTAAGGCATTAGAAATGCCTTTAGGTTACTACTCTGAAGAGTCACTTGTGATTCCGATTAAGGAAACTTGCAAAGTTATACTGAACCATACAGCCAAGACATCTAGAAAAAATGTTATCATAAACCAGTGCCAATACCTTTTGATTAGAAGTGATCTTTTGATAGAAAACATTTGTTTCAAAAAATAAAAGCTTGATATAGGAAAAATATTTACCCCTGAAATTTTGTTAATGACGTAATAATGACTTAAGGCTGTTTTTATTAATTTCAAGGTTTCTTTTTTTGTTTTCTTAAAAGAAAAATTAGATAAGATAAATAATTATTTTGTAATTAATATTTCACTATTATTAAAATATTTAGTTGAGTTTTGACTTTTTGAATCCATTTTTTTTTTTTTTAGTAAATGTTTAGGTTTGAATAATCTAATTTTTTTAATTAGGGTATATTAGGGTAATATGCGCACTTTAAGCGAAAATTGGAATATCTTTATAAATAACTTTTTTTTTTTTTTTTTTTTTATTTGCATTCACTCCCAACAAGGCTGCAAGCAACCACTATTAAGTTGGGAGTTACTAGGAAAAAAAGAACAGAGTTATAGAGCAAGGAAACGGTTGACAGAAGACTTGAAAAGTTGAAGGTTGTAGGAGTCAGGAAAACATGAAGATGGGAGAGAGTTCCAAAAGATTGAAGTGCGGGAAAAAAAACGAGATGAATAAAAGTTTTTAGAGCATGCTGGGACAGATACAGTAAACGAA